AGCTGGAAAAGCATCCCAGGAGGCCGTAGAGGAGAAAGCAGGGTTGGCTAGCCTCTGGAGCAATTTGGGTTAAGGGCCTTGCTCAAGGGCCCAATGGTGGGATCCTTCTGCTCACCCAGGGACATGAACCCACAACCTTCTGTGTCCCAAACCACAGAGCTCCCCCCCAAACAAATTATTTAAAAATATATTTTTTTGGGTCAGTACATAATTCCATATATTATTTCATAGTTTTGATGCCTTTATAATTAATCTAAAATGTACAGAATAGAAATACACTTTTCTACGGGTAGGTGTGCCCAAACTTTTGACTGGCACTGTCTTTCCTATCTTTATGTCATCTTTAATTAAGTAACTTTTAGGTTTGATGCATGTGTTCTGCCTATAAAGCGTGCCGTGTCACAGACAAGCGGCTTGTGCTAAATCTCTGTGGTTCACACTCACCTGCACAATGGGCTCGTCTTCCTGTGCTCCTGTAGCTAATAAATCCTGCCCCCCCGATCCTGTGTCCATTGCCTCGCAGGTCTCCAGTGACTCCGTTAACCGCACCTTCACCACCCTCATCATGTGTGATAAAGGCAGGGAGGAAGTGGGGGCAGAACCCCAAAACGGTGTCACCGTGCCGCTGCAGCACCTCTACAACCCCGTCCTCTTCATCCCCGATGGTGCGTCCTGCATAATCCTATATACACGTGGCCTTTTGTACACACTAAAGACCTCATGAACGTGTCTCATGCTGCTTGTATGAGCATTCTAATGAGCCTTTGCCAGGGTCTGTAAATGTAATTAACCTGTTGATGTTTCCGGCTTGTGACTCACCTATGCATTTGTGCGCCCCCTTCTGTCAGGCCCCTGCAGCCACACAGTGCAGAAGCTGAAGATGCGGGATATCACTGCCATCACCACAAAGACCCTCAAAGTCATTCCTGATAGAATCATTGACAACTACAAGCAGAGACAGCAGCCACGCTTCAGGTCTGTGTGCAAATGTGTGCATGCATGGGTTTGCATGTGTGTGGTTTTTTTGTGCTTTTGTTTGGTTGTTTTTTTGTGCTTTTGTTTGTTTGTTTTTTTCTGCTTTTGTTTGTTTGTTTGTCATCCATCCATCCAACCTCAGGTCCCCATGGCCTATTCCTAAAATTCATGACCTTCTACATACTCTGTCCCCCCTTCCCCCTCTCAGGCTGGACCCCCCCGGGCCTGCCGTATCGACAGCTACGCAGGAGCTTCTGCGACTAGCGGAGGCCAACTCCAGTGGCATCACAGCCCTCGACCCCGTGAATGACCTCCATCTGAAAGGGGTGGAGGTGGTGGAGGGGTCTCTCAGGCTGAGATCTCTGCAGGAAAGCGTGCGAGAGTTCAGCTGTATCCACTCCCCCACCTTCTCTGAGCAGGTCTGTCACCGGAGGGTTCTCCATACTGTTCTCAGTGTCCTGGGCTTTGTGTTCTCCATACTGTTGTCAGTGTACACATCTGTGGGTTTTCTGTGCTGCTCTCAGTGTCCTAGTCTTTGTACCACTGTCAGGTAGATGTAGGGTGACCTTCCCTTATCTCTCCACTCTGGGTCCTAGTTCTCCAGGGTCCAGGAGAGGATGATGCTCCAAGAGGAATTGGACAGCCTGCTGTACCTCATCTCTGACCAGTCACTCACCCTCCTGCCAGAATATCGCCAGAGGATCAAGGTGTGCCTCCCTGGCTGATTTCATTAGCAGCTCTCCGATTAAATGCCTTTCAGCAGCATCAGTCCTTCCCACAGCACTGAGGGAACGCTCTGTTTGACCCACCCCCCCCCAGGTTCTCGAGTCACTGAATTACGTGGACAGCAAAGGGGCCGTGCAGCTGAAGGGGAGGGTTGCCTGTCAGATCAGCCGCCACGAGCTGCTGCTAACGGAGCTTCTGTTTGAGAACACACTTAGCCCCCTGGCACCTGAGGAGAGCGCCGCCCTGCTGTCATGCTTGGTGTTCACCCAAAACACACAGACCTGCCCCCACCTCACCAACACTCTGCAGGAGGTCTGCATAGTGCCTTCTCTGTGTCTGCCAATGTGTTCATGTTAATTCTATATATTTAAAGAACTGAGATTACCCTGAAATTTAATGGTAGCTATAAGCAAATGAGACTCAAAGTTGACAAGATTGTATGGGAGCCTCCTATTTATACATGCGCTTGGTTCTCCTTCCTGTCCTGAAAGGGGATTGATCGAGTGGTAGCTGTGGCCCAGCGCATCGGGGACCTGCAGGTGGACTGCGGACTCGCGCAGCTGGCGGAGGACTTTGTGGCTCAGTACAAGTTTGGGCTGACGGAGGTGGTGTACTGCTGGGCCAGGGGCATGGTGAGTTTGGGCTGACGGAGGTGGTGTACTGCTGGGCCAGGGGCAGGGTGAGATTGGGCTGACGGAGGTGGTGTACTGCTGGGCCAGGGGCAGGGTGAGATTGGGCTGACGGAGGTGGTGTACTGCTGGGTGAGGGGCAGGGTGAGATTGGGCTGACGGAGGTGGTGTACTGCTGGGCCAGGGGCAGGGG